TGGCACTCAGGAAAGAACACACAGCTGTTTGTGCATGCTGCATTGAACCGTTGGCATAACAATCATTTTGCTCATATTGAACTGTTTGGAACTTTTGGATATCATGTCAAGGTTCTGGGATGGCGATGATCCGCCAGAAAGGGTAGAGCGCTGTCTGGTCCGGGCCATGTGGCCAGCTCCTCAGCAATGCTTGCTAAACTTGTCAGGGCTGGCTGTTCACTGCATTGTTAAGTTAAGTTTCCCTAAAATTGCGGAACCAAATCATCAGTGCGAACGCTTCTTCGAGGAAGCTTCCCCTGCCCTCAGGCAAGGGAAACTTCCTTGAAGAAACGTGAACTGTCCTGCGTCCATGTCTAGCAGACAACTTAAGCTACTAGCTACCTTTTCCTCTCTTTATTGGCCAAACTTTCTGGACAAAAACCGTTTTAAAACAATTTGCTAAGAAGTCTCTTCGTCCTGCCACTAGACTTGTCCTCCTTTAGCGTTTTGTCCGCCAAGGTCATAGAGGCCGTGAAACCTTTTGATGGCGCACGCTGGCATCCGAGAAACGAAGAGGAACGATTTCTTCAAAAGAAGTATGCATCAGAGAAGCCAGCCTTGCACAGAGACACCTGGTTTTCTGAACCATTTTTGATACGCAGGACACTTTGCCAGATCGACCATGAAGCCGAAAGCTAGTGCTTTGTACCGCCTGCTTGCACCTAGGTGCACGGGGTATGTTGTGCCTCGGAAGGCCTGATACCGAAGTATGCTGAGAAGCACTTGAGGTATATTAGTGCTTTCTGAGTGCTTGGTCCCGCTTTGTCGGAGCTCTTAAATGTCGGTTTTGCTCTTTTGTACTTCTCATTCTCATGGGTTCATTGACTATCCAGTGCTTGGGTGACTGTCCAGACGGCTTTTGAGGTCAAACAAGCATGGAAACGGTTTGCTCTTGAGTGTACAGACCTGGGACAGGTTTGCATGGCCTCTCCATCGCATTTTTTTCCGATCCTTGACGCCTGAAAGATCTGGGACAATTCTCACACTCGCGGAAACTGTTGTTTTGCTTTATGGAAGGATTGGTCTAGGTATCATTTGGTGCTTGCATGGTCCTTTTTCAATAGCTTGACATCCAACGAGGAAATCCGGTAGACTACAAGGCTTAGATGCTGGATTCAAGAAGAACATATTTGCAACCTGTTTTTGAGAATGACAATGCAGTATCTACAGTGTTTCCAGAGTTACAGCATCAGAATCCAGCCAAGCTCTTGGATCAATGTCCAAGCGCTAGCGGCCTAGTTGCTCCAAAGAAATCTGACACTGATCTTCAGATTGCAGTCATTGAGGTTGCCTTTTCCTTACAAAGCTTTCCGACGGAGGTCCTTGCTTGACAAAAGGGACATGACATCAATGAAAATCACTAGTACAGCAGGAGCATACAATTGCCTGTGGCTTGTACTGATGATCGCTCAGAAGGGGCAGATACCGCGTAGCCAAGTCGTGAGTGGCTGAGGCACTGCCCCCATGCACTACTAAATGTTAAGTTTCCCTAAGCATCTAGGAACAAAATTATTAGAAGCGTGAGCTATCCTGCATCCATATGTAGCACTTGTAGGTACTAGCTACCTCTATAACTACTAGCCACTAGGGCCACTAGCCACTAGACAAAAAGATACTTCAAAAAAAATGATATATATATATATAATATATATATATATTATGTGTTTCAGACCTATTTCTTCGCATTTGCGTGTAGTGTTGA